ATTCCGAGTTTACCGGTTCAAGATTTATCGATTAACATTGTTTTAGAACTTAGAGTGGAAGTTGTAGATTTGTGTTAATTTATTTTGGTAATTTAATGTATAAATATTTAATAATAACAATATTATAATTAATGTACATGCTCTGTGTGTGGTTATTTCCCCAATGAACAACCGAATAAACATAATATTATCAATAAACGTATTGCGTACATGACTTGCTGTCTTACAATAAATCTGAGCCATAACAATATTGCATTTAGGAAATCATCAATTAGTGTGGATAATTGAAATACTCAAACTGATATTAATCAAATTTATCGAGCGTTGTTTAGATTTCATGCTAGAAATCGAAAACGTCACGGAAATGAAAAAGCTGCACAAAACCGTCACTTTAAAGTTAGCGGAATTCTGCGATTATGTTGGCAGACCGTCGAAATGTTTCCAGATTTCTACAATGACGTCAAGAGCACTATTAAATCGGAAAAACAAGTTTACCCGGATTGTACTAAAATTGCAAACATTGGCGATAATTATTCGGTACTAATCGATGAAAGTAATATGGCAGTAAACAACCGTACACAAAAGTGGACGGATAAATCTTTGAAACAAAAAGACTTGTTTGTGAAAAAAGTTGAACATCTATTTTAGGACGTCAACGTGGATATTGCAAAGACATTTTATTCGCATCCTATTAACGGCAAATCATTCAAAAAGTTGAAAGAAATAGAACACCCGAGTACAGTGTAAAATTATTTTAAAGCCGTGTTATGTTGTTACATTTATAGTTCACAAGTCTGTTAAGAAATATAATTTTATCAATTTAAAACATTATTCACTCAGTTAGAATTTAATAAAATTTATGTCAATTGCATTTTAAAATTGTTTAGTTATTATGTAATACCTTGTTGATTTGTTGTTTATTTTCCTACTCTTGAGTTAAAATTTTCGCAATGGTTTAATAATCTAAAGGTGTATGTACTATCTAAGAGGCTTATATTATATTTAATAAGCTACCGTTTACATAAAGCTACATATAACTAAAATGTGACGATGATCGTTAAATTAGATCAAGTTTAATCGTACAAACCAATTTTACTCTTTGACAGAGTAAAATAAACATTAGTGTATTTCTACAGTGTATATAGGTCTCAAGTAGTAAATTAATTTAGCTACCGAGAAACTACTACTCCAATATCGTCGCTAGACCAATGAAGGACCAATAAGTGGACAATTTATAGTACTATTATACATAAGTAATAGGAAGAATTAACCTAAGCGATAAAAATATCTACATCTTCTCAAACATCATACAATCATTATACTCATCAAACTTCATCAACATTACAAACTGTTGTTATTCTTTAATATCAATTACCTTATCTTATCACTGCCCATAATTCCCACACTGCCCATCTATAAACCCATAATTTTTCTGTTTTTTGCTTTAATTCTATTCTACTACAAAACTTAAATTTATATCTGGTATGTCTGATAAAAATTATACTAACAAAAAAGTGTAGCATAATTATTTCTTTACCCATTTAAAAAAAAAGGCAACATTTTTAGATGTTACATTTTTTTTTTAAATCAAATCAATATAAAAAATAAATCACAGTACATCCAGACATTCGATATTTTAACTGACTAACTTCTGGAAAACAAGTTTAAAATTTGAAACAATTTTTTACCCCAATCGTTAAGTAAGCAGGACCACCGGACACTAGCTTTCTAAGATGTTCCATTTCCCCCCCCCCCCCCTCAACAACTATCTAGAGTTGCTATGTGCAATTTTGTTGATCGTATTTTTGTTTCTAGTAAAAATGCTAAGGTTATAATAAATGGAAAATATTTTCGAAAAACCTACGATTTAGGCACTTGTGCATATAAATGTTACAGTACGATTTTTTTTTAACCGACACCGATAAATATTCATAAATCAAGTGTTAAATTTCTGCCAGAAAAATACACCGATCCAATGACAATTGTGCACTTTATAGTGATACATTCTATGTAGAAAAATTCGGAGGTTATAAGAAATCATGAAAAATCGAAAATTTCATCGAAACAGATACGCTATTTACAAACGATTTGCGCACATAGATATTTTATTATTTCACAACCGCTGCCTTTAAATATTCCGTAAAACAAATGGTGATTTTTTATAAAAAATAAAAAAAAACCTAGCGCTAACGACAACGACTATACGTGTGTTAACTAAGTTAGGGACTTCTGGGATTGAACCGAGCTGAGTTAATTTGATAAAATCACTTTTAAATAAACTGTTCGATGCGAATCCGTAGAAATAAACCTATTGATGATAGTATTGGAATGGCAATAATGTTTTATGTACTTAATTTTGTATTTTGACTGTTGGGGTGGTTGAGATAAGGGTTGATCGTTTTGGTACAGTAATTTGCTGGTCCTTGTTAGCCACATATTGTAACCAACGTAATGATGCAAATATACTCCAGTCACCTGTTGACCGGTTAATTACAATCACTCATTGAAACCCAAAAACTTACAACCGTCAAAGTGTTATTTTCCCCTTTAGTTTGGGTTTCCCTTAATGAAAAAAAAAAATTTGTTTTACTAAAATTTTTTAAGAAAATCGGATATGAAGTTATTGTGCCTTATTCTATAAAAAATACTTTTTATATTGAAATAAAAAAATAATATATAAATACTATCTCTTTAACACAAACTAGGTTTTTTTGTCGCAGTCCTCTTAACTATTTTTTTATGGACATTTATAACATTAGTTGAATATTTTTTTATAGAATAGGACATTCAAAACTAAATATGTTTTCATCATAGCTCGAAGACGGAATGAGTACAACAAGTACTGCACCCAAATCAGAATTGTTTTTAACGCTTTACTACTAAATCAAAAGAAAAAATCAAATTTTACCAAGACAAAGTGTCTTTTTCTTCATTAACGACACGTAACCATGTTAAATATCAATTACATAGAACTCATCCCATTTGGAAATAAGATGAAAATTGGACAAATTTGTTTTCATTGTCTTATTTTGTTTATTGTTTTATATATATAAAAAAAAGTTATATCAATTTTAGAAATAGCCCATTGCTTTGTGTTCTACTAAATTTCACATGGCGGTGAGTTGGTAGGCAATTTTTAAAAAATTAGGGCCAAACATTTTAGGCCAAACCGAATTTATTAGTCCACTGGTCATCAAAATCCAATGGGTTGAATATGTATATGGATAACACCATATAAAAATGTATATTTGTAAAAATTATTTGAATTGTTAATAAGTGAGGTTGGTGTATAATTTCGCACGTCGGCGCATGTGTTTCAAAAGTCAACAAAAAAAAAGTGTTAGAATATGATTTTGTATTCAAGTATTTTTTATCAAATTCTCGGCTAGGCGAAAACGCAATTTTTTTTTCCTTAGAAAAAAACTCTTGTGGGATATTTTTTGTGCGTTTCCATTTTCACTGTTTACATAAATGAAAATGTAGTAGCAGTTTATATGAAAACTTTTTACACGTTCAAAAGACTATAAATGTTATTAAGATTCCCACATTAAACTTGCGTTATAATAATGTGCACCTAACGACGACACATACAAGTCTTAAGAAACGCATAGGGGTAGGTGATGGGGGTAAGGGATAAGGGTAAGGGATAGGGGTAAGAGATAGTGGTAGGGGTATGAGATACGGGGTAGGTTAGGGGTACGAGATAACAGTAAAATACCATAAATGGAATGGGGTTGGGGTGAAGGTGGTAATGGGGTTGGGGTGGGCATGGAGATGGAGTGGGAATAGGGTTAAGGGAGGGGGGGGGTGGGAATGGTTTTTTCTGTCACATAATCAAAAAAAACCTTAACGCTGTTATCTGATAAAAGATTAGAGATAAGAGATATTGTGTGTTCACAACGATCAAATTAAAGCTAAATAAAAATACAATGTACTTTAAGAGGTCATATTTCCTATAAATTGTTTAAGGCCCGATATTATGAAAACACTAAAATATAAGCCAGAAACTTGATATGTTTACTAGTTACCTTAGATACTAGCTTGTTAATATACTATGTCATTATCGATAATTCCACCACTACTCTAAATTTATTTGGTACTTCAACGAGACACGTAAATGCTTTTTCGTGGTTGCAGACTCGGCTGAAAAACTTTATGATTTTAAAAATATTTTTCAGTTTGTTAGTTAGGGGTATGCTGCCCCAGTGAGATTGACTGTAAATTGGGTATTGACCTAAAGTGACCAATATCAAAGGGGTACAAGAATTTGTGTCTTTTTGAGCGTTGCAGTAAAGTACTCTTATTTATCTAATTAGTAAAAAATTGTCATATATAGTACGTTGGATAAGGATACCATTTGTAAATAATGTGTTGTAGAATAGATTAGTTGAGATGTGTTCAGGGAGGTTTTTTAACTTTAGTCACATACTTAAGGGTGTCTTTTTGTCTTCTCAAGTCTAAGGATATTTCTCCTGCATTTCATAACAATATGCTTTTTATTGGGTTGGTTCGAAAAGCTCCTTGCTGAGTTGTGACAATGGTTCAATTGTCCATTTTAGATAGAATTAGTGTCTTGTAGATAGTACCAAGATTATCTGTCTGGCTGCCCACGTAATATTCCCTAGCCCTTTGATAATTCTCATTCTTACTGTGCAGTCTGCTTAAACGGGATTTCGTTTGTTAGTGTTGTTAATAAATGGGCACACCCCCCAAAAAATATTTCTTCGCATGCCTATGCTACTTCCAAATATGAATTTAAAGGACTAGATAATTAATAGAAAAAGTTTATTATTTTTTTCCATGATAAAGAATTTCGAATTATATTCTTTATAAAACTTATTATTTCTATGGGTGTTGAACGGTAAAATACTTAACACTCCGTGCGCTACATAGTTGTCTTCAATACGAACACCTGAATAAACATATCAATAACGCGTACGTGACTTTGTGTCTTACAATAAATTTGAGCCATTACGTTATTGCTTTAGGGAAATCATCTATCCGTATTATACTAGAGCTACACGTCTTAGTAGGTATACTTTAGTTGAACAGTTCTTGAAAAAAGTGCCAGAAAAAATGTTATGTTCAAAATTATCGTTATGGTTTGGTCTCACTACCACTATGCTAATTATTTGTATGCTTGCATACAATGTCGAAACAAAAAAAAACAAACTGCACATGGGGATTTTGGAAACCCGTGGTCAATATATTTCTGTGATAAAGTTGGAACGAATCCAGTCAGTAGCTGAAGGAAGCTCATATGAAATCGATTACGAATCCTTTCAACGACTCCAATGCAGCTATGCTTTATCTTCGTTGCGTCACTTGCTGTTAACCGAAGAGTTTCTGTATAAATCTAAAGAGGAGTTTATGTACAATCCTGATTACGACTACAAAGACATAGTGTTTGATTCTGAAGCTGCTTTGATGTTAGCAACCCTTCAAAGTATGCCCTTCCGTAGTCCCGTATCCGAGGAATATCATTGGACATTGTTGTTTTACACGATCAGTGTACACAGATTATTGGAAGCATTCTCTAAAGATGAGGTAATTGATCCGCTAAATACTCAGTTCATGTATAAAGCTCATGAATCCATTGTGGATTCTCTACGGGAGTTTGTGATTAAAATGGAAAAGTTTCAAGACGTGCAAGAAAAACTGCAGAAAATAGTCATGGAGAACATATTCGTAGGTAATGAACTGCCAGAACTCATTTACAGCAATAAAGACCTGCTAAATAGGCAAATTAGGTTCAACGAGGTGTATGGCGTTTCAGGCGATGGCATTAGACATATATCGTTTGATAGTTTAACTAATTTAGACAAGGTAGACAAAATAGAAGAAATTTGTTCATTATATTTTGGGGAAGTATACTGGACAATTATAAAAAAAGCATTTGAAGATATGTATGATACTGCTAAGAATGTGGAGACAACGGTTAGCTATCGGATTGCATGCATCTGGCATATTAGATACGGGATAATGAAAGTACTTAAACTAATATTAATCAAATTTATCGAGAGTTATTTGCATTCTTCGTCAAAAGAGAAAAATGTCGAGGAAATCAAAACGAACGATAGAATAATGCACTCAAAGTTATCGGAATTCCGCAACTATGTTGGCGATAAAGACCTCTTAACCGGAAAGTTCAATGATCGTTATAATACTCCAGATTTCTACAATGCCGTAAAGAGAGATATTAACCTTAAAATAAGTTTTTACCCTAATTGTTCTAAATGTACTGATAACCTAAATGAAAAAATTTTCTATTACTATACGCTACTACTTGATGTAAATAATATTAAGATGTCCCCACTATTAAAAGAGTGGACGAATATAGACAATTTTCTAGTTAAAGTTCAATATTTATTTTCTGACGTCAACACGGATGTTGCGAAGTCATTTTATTCATATCCCTTTTATTCCAATTCATTAAGATCATTGAAAGAAAAAGAACACCCTAATGGGTGTAAATCATTTCAAAGCTGTTAACGAAATCATTTGTTACCAATGTAGTTCACATGTATGTTAAAAAATGTAATATTTTATATGATGCAACTAGTTTGCAATTTTACTAAGAAACTTGTACCTAGCTATAAGTTATCAATTTAATGTATTATTCACTTATTTCGAAATTAATAAAGTTCATGTCAATTGTATTTCAAAAACGTGTGGTTATTATGTATTTATTGGTTACTCATAAAATCTTTCGAGGTAGGGTAAACTATTGTACCTTGTTGATTTCTTGTATGTTATCCTACTCTTAAATTAAGATGTTTGTACGATTTTAATGATTTAATGGTATAGGTATATGTGATATAGTTTAGGTGATAATTTTTTTTTTCAAATAAATAAGCTACATAAAGCTATAACTAAAAGGTGACGATGATCGTTAAATAGATCAAGTTAAATTATAATAACTCAGTTTGTCTCCAAGTATAGTGTACATCTAATGCCTTTAGAAGACGACTGATGTAAACTATCCAAGACTCGAGAAGCCACCAAAGAACTACTACTTTAATATTGTTGCTGCACCAATAAAAGGTACGTTGAAATTGTATAAATATTAACTACATTTAAATAGTAGAAATACTTAAAGTTAATAGGGATAAAACGTTTTCACCGATAATATATTTATATTTACGGAAATATCATACAATAATTGTACTCGTCACACATCTTTGCAAACTGTTGTTTGTTCTTCTTTCTTATTATCTTTTTTTTTTATATTACAAACATAATAAACTCATCATTTTTCTTTAATTTATGTTATTCTTCTACAAAAATTTTAAGCAAACAAAACGTTTAACTGTGGAGGATTTTGACATTACAACCGTAGCTTGCGATATTGTAAATCAAAACCTACTTCTAGAAACCTATGAGCTGATAAGATACTGGCACGTTGTACAGATAATATACTTCATGCTAGACAATCAGCGCTTTATAGTAAATTTAAGCAACAAGCATCGGGTAAATGTAGAATATAACGTAACGGCGTAACACTGTGGTTGGCATCCATGCTATTCAATATATACAGGGTGATCATTTCATCACAAATTACTCTCAATATCTCATAGAAATGAATAAGAAATTACATTTTTTTTCCATATTGTTTTTATAGAATTTTGTTCTTAAATGTTTGTAATTTATTTTTATCACCATCTCAATTTATTTTTTTTAAAGTTACTTTTGAAATTTAAATGGTAACGCATACATTTAATTTACTTTTTAAATTTATAAGAGTTAAAAGTTAGTAAGTGCGAGCAGATAAAAACAATACTATACTTCACCTTTCCTCCTGCCCTAAACTTGAAATGTTAATAACTTCAAAAATAGTTATCCAAAACTGGTCAGCGTTGTTAAAAGTTACCTAAAAAAATATGTGCGTTACCTTTTAAAAGTTGTTTTAAACAAAAAACTAAGTTTGGAGGGGATAAAAATTTTAAAATTTGTGATGAATTGTGAAAAATCAAGATGTAGAAAAACATAATGAAATTTAGGTACTTATTTGCATATAAGTACCTAAAAATATACAATTTTATTACTCGATTCATTAGCTTCAATGTGAAGTTGAGAGGTAACCATTATACCTTATCTTATCACAAATAATAAACCCATAATTTTTCTGTATTTTGTTTTAATTCTATTCCACTACAAAATTTTAATTTATGTCTGATATGCCTGATAAAAATAATACTAACAAAAAAGTATAGCATAATTATTTCGTTACCTATTTAAAAAAAAATGCCAACATTTTTAGATAAATAATTTTTTTTTTAAATCAAATCAATATTAAAAATAAATCACAGTACATCCAGACATTCGATATTTTAACTGACTAACCTCTATTGTTCTGAAAATTAGTTTATAATTAGAAATAATTTTTTACTCCAATCGTTAAGTAAGCATAACCGGACACTAGCTTTCTAAGATTTTCCATTTTTTCCCCTCGACAAGTATTTAGACAAACACTACGCTTTTCGTTACTTTGAATTACTTAACACATAGCCTTTACCCCTGGGTTATTTATTGGGTTGGTTCTAAAAGCTCTCGTTGACAGTCTCATGCCCTGGTTGTGAATGGGGTCCAGTATTTTAAGTATATATTAACTCTTTGCTGAGTTGTGACAATGATTTAATCGTCAATTTTAGATAGAATTAAGGCCTTGTAGATAGTACCAAGATTATCTGTCTGGGCTGCTAACGTATTATTCCCTAGCACTTTGATAATTCTCATTCTTATTGTCTGCTTAAACGGGATTTCGGTTGTTAGTGTAGTTAATAGATGGGCACACCCCCAAAAAATATATCTGCGCACGCCTATGCTACTTCCAAATATGAATTTAAAGGACTAGATAATTAATAGAAAAAGTTTATTATTTTTAAAGAATTTCGAATTATATTCTTTATAAAACTTATTATTTCTATGGGTGTTGAACGGTAAAATACTTAACACTCCGTGCGCTACATAGTTGTCTTCAATACGAACACCTGAATAAACATATCAATAACGCGTACGTGACTTTGTGTCTTATAATAAATTTGAGCCATTACGTTATTGCTTTAGGGAAATCATCTATCCGTATTATACTAGAGCTACACGTCTTAGTAAGTATACATTAGTTCAGCCGCAGTTCTTGAAAAAAATGTTATGTTCAAACTTATCGTTATGGTTTGGTCTCACTACCACTATGCTAATTATTTGTATGCTTGCATACAATGTCGAAACAAAAAAAAACAAACTGCACATGGGGATTTTGGAAACCCGTGGTCAATATACTTCTGTGATAAAGTTGGAAAGAATCCAGTCAGTAGCTGAAGGAAGCTCATATGAAATCGATTACGAATCCTTTCAACGACTCCAATGCAGCTATGCTTTATCTTCGTTGCGTCATTTGCTGTTAACTGAAGAGTTTCTTTATGAATCTAAAGAGAAGTTTAAGTACAATCCTAATTACGATTATGAAGCCATAGTATTTGATTCTGAAGCCGCTTTGATGTTAGCAACCCTTCAAAGTATGCCCCTACGTAGTCCCGTATCTGAGGAATATCTTTGGACATTGTGGTTTTACACGATCAGTGTACATAGATTATTGGAAGCATTCTCTAAAGATGAGGTAATTGATCCGCTAAATACTCAGTTCATGTATAAAGCTCATGAATCCATTGTGGATTCTCTACGGGGGTTTGTGATTAAAATGGAAAAGTTTCAAGATGTGCAAGAAAAACTGCAAGAAATAGTCACGGAGACAAAATTCACGGGTAAAAAACTGACAGATTTCATTTACAAAAATAAAGACCTGCTAAATAGGCAAATTAGGTTTAACGAGGTGTATGGCGTTTCAGGCGATGGCATTAGACATATATCGTTTGATAGTTTAACTAATTTAGACAAGGTAGACAAAATAGAAGACATTTTTTCAGAATATTTTGGGGAAGGATACTGGACAATTGTAAAAAAAGCATTTGAAGATATGTATGATACCGCTAAGAATGTGGAGACAACGGTTAGTTATCGGACTACACACATCTGGCATATTAATAACGGGATAATGAAAGTACTCAAACTAATATTAATTAAATTTATCGAGAGTTATTTGCATTCTTCGTCAAAAGAAAAAAATGTCGAGGAAATCAAAACGAACGACAGAATAATGCACTCAAAGTTATCGGAATTCCGCAACTATGTTGGCGATGAAACCCTCTTAACCGGAATGTTTAATGATCGTTATAATACTCCAGATTTCTACAATGCCGTAAAGAGAGATATTAACCTTAAAAAAAATGTTTACCCTATTTGTTCTAAATGTACTGATAACCTAAATGAAAAAATTTTCTATTTCTATACGCTACTTCTTGATGAAAATAATATGAAGATGTCCTCACTAATAGAAGAGTGGACGAATATAGAGTTTTTTCTCGTTGAAGTTCAAGATTTTTTTTCTGACGTCAACATGGTTGTTGCCAAATCATTTTATGCGTATCCCTTTTACTCCAATTCATTAAGATCATTGAAAGAAAAAGAACACCCTAATGGGTGTAAATCATTTCAAAGCTGTTAACGAAATCATTTGTTACCAATGTAGTTCACATGTATGTTAAAAAATGTAATATTTTATATGATGCAACTAGTTTGCAATTTTACCAAGAAACTTGTACCTAGCTATAAGTTATCAATTTAATGATTTTTTCACTCGTTTCGAAATTAATAAAGTTCATGTCAATTGAATTTCACAAACATGCGTTTATTATGTATTTATTGTTTGCTCATAAAGGTAGGGTAAACTATTCTAGCTTGTTGATTTCTTAAATGTTTTCCTACTCTTAAATTAATATCTTTACAAGAGTTTAATGATTTAATGGTATAGATGTACAATAGTTTAAGTATTGTGTTTTTTTCTTAAATAAGCTATCATATACTTTATGCTATCATTTCAAGTTGACGATGAACGTTAATTAGATCAAGTCAATGTTTACCAACTAAGACTGTCTCCAAAAGAATGTACATGCAATGCTTTAAATAGACGTCTGGTATTAAGTTAATAAATGTGTATTTTTATCTAAGTCTCTAGCTGACAATTAACTTAGCCAACGAGGAACTACTGCTTCAATATCGTTGCTGCACCAATAAAAGGTACGTGGAAATTGTATAAATATAAATATAATTTATTTTTATCGCCTTCTCAATTTAGTTCTTTTAATTTTACTTTTGGCATTTTAATGGTAACGCATACATTTAATTTATTTTTTAAACTTATAAAAGTTAAAAGTTAGGAGGTGTGACCAGATAAAAACAATACTATACTCCACCTTTACTTGAAATTTCAATAACTTCAAAAATAGTTATCCAAAACTGGTCAGCGTTGTTAAAAGTTACCTAAAAAAATGTGTGCGTTACCTTTTAAAAGTTGTTTTAAACAAAAAACTAAGTTTGGAGGGGATAAAAATTTTAAAATTTGTGATGAATTGTGAAAAATCAAGATGTAGAAAAACATAATGAAATTTAGGTACTTATTTGCACATAATACCTAAAAATATACAAGTTTATTAATCGATTCATTAGCTTCAATGTGGAGTTGAGAGGTAACATTTTAACGAGGATTAACCTATCCTATTAACAAAGATGTGATATTATTTATTTTATATTTCTGTGTGTGGACAGACACAATACCTCCCAAATCGCTGACCTGATTTAAAAAATATATGATAGGAAATAAATGTTCATCATTATTAACAAAGGGCAAAATCTATGCCTGATTAAATTATTACTAATAAAAAAATATAGTATAATTATTTCGTTTACGCCTTAAAAAAAATGTCAAGGTTTTTAAATATTTTTTTTGAAAAATCAAAACAATATTAAAAATAAATCACAGTACCAGACATACGATATTTTAACTGACCAACCTCTGGAAAAGTAGTTTTAATTTTTTTTTACCCCAACCGTTAAGTAGGCAGGACCAGACACTAGCTTTCTAAGATGTTTCATTTCCCCCCTTTAGAAGTATGTTACATATTCCCTTGCCAACATACCATACTTTTGAATTGAATAATCAGTGAATTTGTATAGTCTTTTTTCTTGATTTTGAAGAGGAAGTAATGATCTGTTTGAATGTTTGATCCGAAATTTATCTTTCCTGTACGATTTTTGATCTATAGACTTGCCGCATGCTAATGTCTGTTGTGTACAGAAGTTTGATAGGTTCAATCACAAATAGATAAAGAATAAAATATCTAGAGGAAAAATAGTTTACATAAAAACGATTGGAAGCGGATTCAAATATGATAAAATTAATACATGTTTGTAAAAATAATTTATTATAAGTATTACAAGTGATTATCAAAGTGTGGTATGATTTTTAAAATTGTATTTGGAATGATATATCTCAAAATCGAATTACTTGGAATCAATATTATTTTGAAACCTGGACCACCTCCTAGTATTTTAGTATTTTGATAGCTAATGAGAATTAGCTAATAAATGAAGGTAATGGTATAGCTAAAAAATTCATTCCATAGAAACGACTCTGCTAAAGTAAACAAGGTTGTTTTAAGGGCATCTTCTATTCTATAAGTATTACACTAGAACTTCACTTAGTAAGTAAAACTAAGTTCGGCCACAGCTCTTGAAGAAAAGGGCGAGAAAAAAATGTTACGTTCAAACTTATCATTATGGTTTGGTCTCACTACCACAATGCAAATTATTTTTATTCTTGCGCACAGTCGCGAAATGAAAATAAACAAACTTCACATGGGTATTTTGGGAACCCGTCCTGGATATCTTCTTGAGAAAGAGGCAGAACAAGTCTAGTGTGAAGAAAGCTTACATGAAAAGGATTACGAATATTTCGAACCACTCCAATGCAGATTTGACTCTGATCGTTTGAATTTGATCGCATGTTAGTACTGTATTTAAAACAAAATATAGGAATTACAAATTGTGTATAAAAACACATTTAGTTAACACATTTTGTGTTATTGTGTTCATAAATGTATCGTTAGCTTTTGTGTAAACAGAAGATTTAACTAAAATTGAAAAAAACAAATATCAACTAGAAATATGAAAAAAAGAGTCATAGCAATTGTACACAGATTATGTACTTTGTGTACATTTCCTCATTGTGCTCAAATAAAACAATTAAAGTAAAATAGAAATCAACATGAAATAAAATTTATAATTTAATGTGGGTTGCTTAGTTAAGGCTTTTGTTCAGGTGGACACAAAGGTATTTGAACGAGCTATTTATGAGAATAGTTTGGTCATTTAGAAATTTAAAGCCCATATTTTTAGAACTCAAAGTGAAGGTAACGTGATTGGGTTTGAGAGGGACATTTAATTGAAAATATTTTTTGTTTGAAACTTTTGTAGCCCCAAAAGTAATTTTATAGAAAGGACTCTTCTAATGTAAAATATTATCACTATGTATTATTGAAATATACAGTATAACTATAATTATTGTTCTACATGAACATTTAAAAATAAATCCTTGTCGTGATAATATAATATAAGAAACTATTCTTTAGTTTTACACTTACAGCATATATTACGTCTTCTGTATTATTTGGTTTGCATAGTTCTATTATGGATATGAACGGTAAAATACCTAAAACTCGTATGGTTGTTTTTAACATGAACAACTGAATAATCATATCAACAAACTTATGGCGTACATTGCTGCCTTACAATACATTTGGGTCGTAACAAGATTGCTTTAAGAATATCATCTGTTAGTATTATACTAGAACTACACTTAGTAGGTATAATTAAGTTCAGTCTCAGTTCTTGAAAAAAATTGCGACAAACAATGTTTCGTTTAAACTCATCATTATCGTATGATCTTACTAAAGCAATAATAATTATTTGTATACTTGCACAAAATGTCGAAATGCAAATAAACAAACTTCACATGGGTATTTTGGAAACCCGTTTTGATGGTCTTATCGAGAAAGAGATAGAAAAAGACCAGTCTCAAGGAAGCTCACATGAAATGGATTACGAATATTTCCAACGACTCAAATGCAGCTTTGCTTTATGTGCGTTGCGTCACTTACTTTTAACCGAAAATCTTCTGTATACCACAAACAAAGAGTTTAAGTACATTACTGATTACGACCACATATTGTTTGATGCTGAAGCCTTTTTAATATTAGCAACCATTCAAAGTGTGCCCTTCCGTAATCTCGTATTTGAGGCTATTCAATGGGAATTAATGTTTTACACTAATAAAGTACATAGTTTGTTGGTCGCACTCTCTAAAGGTCAGGTAGTTGATCCGCAAAATACTAAGTACATGTCTGGAGTTCATCAATCCATTTTAGAGTCTCTACGACAGTTTGTGAAGTGTACAATGTCAAAATTTCGAGACTTTCGAAAAAAACTGAGTGAATTAAACGTAAGGAGCATCTCACATATAGACCGGACGGCCAATATTTCTGCAAACAAACTGTTGCTCAATAAACAAATGACGTTTAACAAAAAGTATGGAGTTCCAACCGGTGGCATGGACCGAATAACGATGGGCAGTATAACAGCTTTAGACAGGTTGGACAAAATCAAAAGAATTGTCGAAGAATATTTTGGCGAGACATACTGGACCAATGTAGAACTAGTATGGCGTCAAATGTATAATACAGCGATGAATGTGAATACTACGATTAGCTTTCGGATTACATACCTCTGGCATATAAAAAACGGAATAATTAAAGTACTTAAACTAATATTAATGAAGTTTGTTGAGAGTTATTTGGATATAACGTCAAAAATCGGAAAGGAGAGTTATTTAGATTTCACGTCAGAAATAGAAAATGTTAACGAAATCAAAACGTTAGATAATACCATGACTTTAAAGTTATCAGCGTTCTGCAAGTATGTTGCCATACCTTCAGATGGTGACCCCTTGATACAAATGTTCAATGATCGTTATTCTGTTCCAAATTTCTACGATGCCGTCAAGGGAGTTATTGACTTTGAAAAATCATGTTACGAAGATTTTACTGAAGGTACCCTAAATGAAAATATTTCCCAGTACTATTTAATATTAATTGATGAAAGTAGTATGATAATATCCACTCAAACACAAGAGTGGACAAATATAGACTCTTTTCTCAAAAAAGTTAAAGATTTGTTTTCCGATGTCAACATCAATTTTGCCATGTCATTTTATTCGTATCCTTTTTACGCCAAATCATTCCAAAAATTGCAAGAAATAGAATACTCAAGTAGAGCGGAAATGCTTTAAAAAACGAAATTATTTGTTACATTTATGGTTTACAAGATTGTTAAGAAATATAGTTTTATGTATGTTTGAAATTTTGACAAGAGTACTGTACCTAACTGTAAGTTATCATTTTGAAGTATTATTTACTCAGTTCCAAATTAATAAAGTTAGTATCAATTGCTTTTCAAAAACATATAGTTATTTGATTATTGTTGGTTTCATGGAATCTTTCAAGGTAGGGTAAACTGTTCTACCTTGTCGATTTCTTGTTTATTTTCCTACTCTTGAAGATTTAAGATTTTTGCATTATTTAATAATGTAATGGTACATATGTTATATATACACTAAAGTTTAGGTAATGATTCGTTTTTTTGACATTTTTATCAGTGGCGGTTCTGGCATTAAATTGTTGAGGAGGCAACAACTGTGTACCCACATTGATAAAAAAAGCGCAAAACCCAACACCTAAAATTTCTTCATACTTGGTATACTTCCCTTTTTTAACTGTAACAGAAGACTT